CGGCGCCAAGTAACCTTTCCTCTGATCACGGCTTGCTTGGTCTCGCAATGAATCCTGGGATATCCAAGAATACCGAGGATACATCGGACCCGTCCTTCAAATCGGGCAAAAAGAAGGACGCATTTTAAGGTCGCATAACGAGGACTCTTGGAATCCGACCAGACCTCGGCGCCGCGCTATGACGTAATCGGCCTTCGAATCCGGTCTTCTAAGGATGCGTCCTAGGTTTTCGAACAGGGCCCATGGCTCCATCAGACTTTTTTGTACGTCCTGTTGGGTTATACAAGTTTACCAAATTTTTTAATCCTCACTAAATGCATGACATGGGGCTGTTTTGTTTTTTTCTTATGGTGAGAAGTAAGAATTTGAAGTATTGTAACGCCTGCATGCTTTGGCTGAAACTGTACACCTCCAGGACCCAAAGGCAAGCAGGAAAGACTGCAGTCGAGCCCTTGCTCCCTGGACACAAACTGTCACAGTCTCTTCCCTGTGGCGGGAGGCTGCGGTCCATCAGAATCAGAACCTCCCACCACAGACGGGGGATCTGGAGTCAGTAAGTCATCTCTATGTCATGTATTTGTTCCGTTTCCAATCCAGTGGCACGGGAAGGGGGGTGCTGCGGGGGCTGCAGCCTCCCTCGTCATAGCATCAGCCCCCCATGGTGGGGGGCTGTGGAGTAACATAATATTGTACTTAAAAACATGAAATTATTTATGTATTTATTTTTTAAAAGACTGAGTTTGATATGGGATTAAAATGATGGGCTGTGTATAAGATATAAACTAATGATTCATTATTTTAATATTTCATAAAAAAAAAAAGGCTACTCCCCCGGAAGTCCTTCCGTCACCTCACATTCGTTTAGGCATGGCTAGCAATAGGCAGCAGAAACGTATTTCTGACTATTTCAAGGTGAGAAATGGTTTTAATTCCCCTATACGCTAAAATAAAGCTGCATATCACTAAATATTATGTCTGTATTAAGCTATTAAGTGATAAAATATGAATTTTTTTTTTTTTTTTTGTGTGTGTGTGTTTTTTGTTTCAGATATGAAATCATTCCCCATATCCATAGTCAAATGGACTTTCAAGACATTCAATGCTCAGTTTAGGCTATATTTAGGCCATGTTTCATTCAAGTATTCCTGTTCCTGTTGATTGCGAGCTGTTGTTTTCAATTCAATTCAATTCAGTTTATTTATATAGCGCCAAATTCACAACACATGTCATCTCAAGGCACTTTACAGTTCAACCAGATCATCCAGTCAGATTGATTCAAAGTTTTCTATCTAAGGAAAACCAGCTGATTGCATCGACTCATTGACTCTTCAGCAATCCCTCACACTAAGCATGCTTGTAGCAACAGTGGAGAGGAAAAACTCCCTTTTAACAGGAAGAAACCTCCAGCAGAACCAGGCTCAGTGTGAGCGGCCATCTGCTGAGGCCCACTGGGGTTCAAGGAGACAGAAGCAGACATAGAAAAAGAAGCATAGATACAAAAAGTAGTTGTAAAAGGCGGCCCCGTCCACGAAACACACAGCCAGGCAGACAATCAATTTTGAATGATTAAAAGAGAAGATATAAAGTTTAAAACGTTCATGCTTTGTTCCGATGCATTTTAAATGGCAGTTTGTGGCGACAAATGTAGGCCTACAATATTATGTTAAAAACGTCAGCCACAGCCCTCAACATAATGACGTCACGTGTTTTCCAACCCAGCCATCAGCCCCCCTCGCTTGAAACAGCTTCCAGCGCGCCTGTTCCAATCTGCACGGGTTAAACCAGATTGGACTCACCTGGTTGAGTGGCAGATCAAATACATGAAACAGAGATGACTCCAGATCCTGCATCTGCTTTCAAATAGTTTTTCCCTTTAAAGATTTTTGTGGTTTTTATTCTAACAGCTTTCAGAAAAAATGACAAACTGAGAACAAACTAATGTGAAATCATTTTATTGAGGAATCCAACGCTTTGGTTAACATCAAATTCATTAAGCTTTTAATCAGGACCATTAGTAACCGTAATATTCAAAGCCTTTATACATAAAAATTATGTTTATAGCTACAGTCTCTTAAATTTATGGAATTAATTTTGCTCCATTATTGTTAAAAGTGAGGAACACGTTTTGTAAAAAGAAGTAAAAATATAAATGTAACGTTGATGTTGAACTACCAAATGAAAACTTTTTTTTAAGTAGCTTTTTACTGTTGTTTTCTCAGATGGTATTTTTTAATACAATTTTTTTTCACATTTTTGTTTTGATTGATTTTCAAATTTCTTTTTTCACATCGTGTCTTACATTCTTTTTAAATTCTGTTTTCTATACCTCATTATCTCCCTTTCTGGGGGCGGGTCTTCCTCTAGAGTGAGGAGAAAAGACGCATTTCTATTGGTCTACTGGACATTAGTAACAACATTTTAATTGGTCAAGAAAGAGCGTTGACTGGAAGTGACATGAATGTAATCTGTAAAGAATGCAATAAATAAAACTCAATCTGAAAAAGAGAAAGTTGAAAAAAAATCTAAATGTGAATTAGAATACAAAAATTATATAATAAAAAGTAATAATAATTTGAAGAAAATAAAACCTATAAAAAAGAGAAAAGTTGCTCTCAAAGCCTCTTTTATGATTCATAAGTTTTTCAAAGTTTCATTTCTGGACTGCATTTTTTTTTTTTCCATTTTCAAATTTCCATTTACAAAACCTGCTTTTTGCTAACAGTAATACTGAAACAAAATTCACTCCGTATATATTCATAGCCTACATTACTAATAACTTTTTTCTAAAATCTGTTTTGCTGCTGTAAACACCAGAATTTTCCCATTGTAGGACAGTAAAAGGATTTTCTATTCTATTCTATTCTATTCTATTCTATTCTATTCTATTCGTCTACTGATCTTTAACAAATCTGTTACCAAAAGTTTAATTCTGGATGCATTTTAGCATTGAATGCTCACTGAGGCCATCTAGTGTTGAGTAAATATTATGGCAGAAAGATTGGCCAGATCTACATCAAACTTGATTAAAAAAAAAAAAACTAAACAAAGTGATATTTCATTCATGTAAATGATTGTGATGAAAGTAAAGCTCTAACAGCCCAAAGTGCTTCTCTAACCTGGTCTATATATTAAACCACTAAAAACCAGGATATTCATTTTAAGGTCCTTTGAAAAGAAACCAGCGTAGCTCCTTCCAGACATAACTTCATGCTGCGACTCTGAATCAATGGGACCGGCCAATCACCAGGAGAGCAGCCTCCATCATAGTGTCGCTACGCGATAGAATGAGACCCGATGACAGCGTCATCATCCACTGGAGATTTAAAACCCACAAAAACTACTTAAGGACTTTTAAGGATGGCTGACCTTCATAAATATTTTTAAAAATCTCAGATGTTATTTTTTTTATTACATTTTAACTGTTAAGGAGCTGTGTAACTTGATGCAGAATTGTTTTTAATCCAGTTTTAATGGATTTACTATTTTATATCAACCTTAAAAATGTATAAAGACATTGGTTTATTTAAATTTCCCATATGGACAAAAATCAATTGATTGCCCTGCTGATTAACGTTCTGCTCTCTCTGCTTTTTCTCATAGTAGCTTCATCTGGTCTGTTCCTGTTTGGCTGTGACTCCATCCTGGAGAGAAATATCAGCTGTGCTGCTGCCATCAACACCTTTGTTTCTAGATGTTGGAGATCTGCCTGTTTTTCAGTGTAGTCCTGTTTCTCTCCTGGACAGGGCCGCCTGTGGAGCTGGTTAACAGTTGCCTTTTGTATCTATGCTTCTTTTTCTATGTCTGCTTCTGTCTCCTTGAACCCCAGTCGGCCTCAGCAGATGGCCGCTCACACTGAGCCTGGTTCTGCTGGAGGTTTCTTCCTGTTCAAAGGGAGTTTTTCCTCTCCACTGTCGCTACAAGCATGCTGAATGTGAAGGATTGCTGAAGAGTCAATGAGTCGATGCAATCAGCTGGTTTTCGTTAGATAGAAAACTTGAATCAATCTGAATGGATGATCTGGTGAACTGGAATGTGCCTTGAAATAAACTGAATTGTTCTCCTGAATTCCATCACATCCCCAGCTTAGCCAATAGTGGCGATTGGATGCAGTCCAGATGTTTTCTGGATAACAGTCCAACACTCTGTGATCCCCCAGATGTGCTTGCTGGAACCATTCATATCCGAACGTATAGAAAAGATATTTGATATAAAACAAAACTGAAAATAGGAAACTCTTTAACTTTACATAATAACTATATAGTTTTATTTTTTTTTTTAGCTTTTTATCGCACTGGTGGCTTGTTTTCTAGACAGTAAGCTGACAGGAAAGGGGGTATGAGAGAGGGGGAGAGAAATGGAGCAAAGGACCACAGGTCGGTTCAAACCGAGCTCACCAGGTCGTCTGCGTCGAAACCAGGTCGTCTGCGTAGATGTCGCAGATATGCCCCGCCCATTCCACAGACATTCTGCTGCACCTCCCCCAAATTATAGGTGACTGTAGACAGACAGGACGCCTCTGATCGGTCAATTCTACAACCGCTCTACTCTATGCATATTTCCTGTTTGGTTCCTTACCGGCTTGTTTTGTTTGTCTGACCTCCATTGTGGAAAACAACTGGTGGACCAGCTAGAAGAGGGAGGTGCGCGAGAACGCTGGGACCCTTTTTCCACCTGAATCCCTGCTCTTTTTAGCCCTCATGTCCCTCCGTTGTAGAACAAACTTCCCACTTCCTCATCGCCTCGGCCGTATTATGACCCACAGCTAGTTCCTGATTGTCCCTCTTGCATTGTGGCGTGGAATAACATAGCGCAGACCACGCTGCAATATTGAGCATAAATCAAAAATATCTGCAACAAGCTCACTGCGACACACTGCTGCTGGAGGATAACCAGCCAGTAAGGCCTCTGTACATGGATGACGCACGCTAACCACTGTGCCACCAAAGCAAGCCAATAACTATACAGATTTTGTCAAATGTTTTAAGACCACAAATCAGATCCACAGTGGTACATTTTCCAGATTTAATGTTTCTTTGCCAATCTATCTCCATATTTGGCTTTTTCAAAGTGCTGCACTGATTCAAAGCCTTAAAGACATTATTATTAATTCATATGATGTCATCTGCTGAACTTTGTTTGTTTGTAATCTTTGTATTCTTGCCTGCCTTAAGCCTAGACCTGCTAACTGTGTAATTTGATAAACACAAAGACAAAAAAAAAGAAAAAAAAGATGCAGCAACCATTTTCAACCAGAGGAGGGCGCCACCGAGTCAGATTTAGAAAAAAAGCTGATAAATAAGCAGGAAACGGTCAAAATAATGCTATTAGACATCTAAAAATGAAAGTCTGGTTGATTTTGGGGCAAGTCGCCCTCAAGTCTGAAGCATTAGCTTTGCCATCGTTAACAAAGAACAGCAGGAACGCATTGATCTAAGACGTTACAGATCTGACGGTGGCAGAGATCAGGGGAGCTGGAAGATTCTGTCCTCCAGCAGTTGACTGGATCGGGTCGGACAGAACCGGCGTGGCTCAGCTGAGCGTCAGCCCCTCGCTGACCGGCATGTTGATGTGAGCTGTAAGCAGAGGCGCGCTCTTCTCCTCGTGCAGCACAAAGACCTTGATGATGTCAGAGACGCCCTTGTCGCTGACGCACTCCACGAACGTCTGGATGGGGTAGATGAGTCCAGGAACCAGCAGCGGAATCCTCATATACGCGTTCCTGATGCGGTACAGGTTGTCATCGTACAGGAAGCTGATGGCCAGGTTCATGACTGGCCGGCAGGACGCCGTGTTCTGGACGTTGAGGGTCAGCTTGAAGGATGGGCCCAGGCCTTGGACTACGGCGTTCATCTTGAGCGGCTCTGACAGGCTGCAGGACATGGGGGTCAGGCTGGACTCCAGAACCTTGACGTAGGTTCTGGCGGCGGCCAGCCTCATGCGGCTCAGGTCCATGTGGAAAGCGCGGTGCATGGCCAGCCCGTTCTCCCGCTCCCTCAGCGTCTGGTCCACGTACAGCTTGGTCTTCTTGGGGACATTGAGGCGGACGCTTTGAGCTAGCGGCGGGCCGGGTGCGCCGTCTCGCTCGTCGAACGCCGCAGTTCTCTTCAGGATCTTCACCATGAGGCCCCCGCCCTTCGTTGTCATGATGAGGGTCCCGTCTTCCCGGCCGTAGCGACCGAAGCAGATGCTGGTGACGGCGTCGGGTGTCTTAATGGTGCTGAGCAGGTTCTTGTCCCTGTAGAGCTGGACCTGGCAGTTCGCCAGGCCTACCAGCACCGCCTGGAGGCCCCTGGCGGGGAGCTCCATGGCGGCCATGGTGGTGATGGGAGCGGGCAGCGGGATCCTCCACAGCTTCTTCCCCTGAGGAATCAACCACAGCGTGTCAAACTGAGGGTTTCTTACATCACTTCCTGCCATCAGGTCTCTACCTTCTGAGTGAAGCCCTGCAGGCTCTCGTCGCTGCATCCCACGATCACGTTCTTCCCGACCCTCACCAGCCCCACCGGGTGGGACGGCAGCTCGATGCAGTACTTTGGTTTCTCCGACTCCCTGCGGAACAAACAGCCATGAGAGTCCAGCTCCGCCGCTCCGCCGCACTCCAGAGCAGCCGTTCCTCACCTGCGCAGGATGTAGATGCTGCCATTACGACACGCCACTGTGATGCGAAACTCCACATCGAACTGACCTGTGACGTCCATCATGGTGGGAACAGCAGGGAGACACATCTGGAATCACAGACAGATGTTTGGAGGGAAGGTTTAAAGTAATGCTAACATGCGGCTAGCTAATCAAAGCTTAAAAAGCATCTCCTGTTTTCTATGAAATCAGTGGCCGTTTCTCATCATGTGTACTTGTGCGTTCTCGAAAAACGCCATCAACCACAGACTTATTTGAATTCCCAAGAAGCAGACCGAGAACAGACAAAGTCCCAGGATGTTGTTCTGGCCCCTCCCTCTTTACCCAGCATGCATCAGAGCAGACTTGTCCATTCTCCAGACTGACCGCTGTCCCAGCATGCACTGCGGCAGCAGCAGCTTCCAGGTTAGCGCTCACAGAGCTCAGAGTATTAAGTTAAAAGTTCTCTTTTCTATTGCTGATGTTCAATAAAAGTACGTTTTAAGATCATAAGAGCGTAATTTTTAAAAAGGTTGTGATGTTGAGAGGACTGTGGCAACCGGCAGAGCTCCGAGGCTAACTAGCCAGGGCTGATGCGGACGGGCTAACGTTAGCACCAGCAGGTTTAGAAATCCCCTTTGGAACCAGTTTAGACTGTTCAGATCAGCGGAAAGTTGGATGAAAGCGGCTTAGAACCAGCTGACCTTGCTGAGGATGTTGAAGGCCTCGGGGTCGAGGACGAAGACGTTGGCGTTCTCCGTACCGATCACCAAACAGCTGATCCCATCTTCATCAGCGGTGCTCTTCTTCAGGGTCCCGATGCAGATGATGACGGTCTGGGGACAGAATCCAGCATCAAGACTGGGAATCATCTCTGTGCCAGAAAACCACATTATTGAGGATTACCTGCCGCCTGATTGGCTGCTGCTTATGCAGCTGGACGAACTCGTCCACCTCGTCGGCCGCCAGCGACAGGAAGCGGAGGGAGCGGTCAGACAGTGGCACGTCCGCCTTCTTCCTGACGTCCTCCAGCATCTCCTTCAGCATCACTGGGTCGATTTGGCCCTCCCTCACCTGCTGCCACATGGCCTGACCAATCACAGCACAGCAGCCGGTGACATCATTAATCAATCATCTTTAGGGCTGCAACTAAAGAGTCTTGTGCAAACCAATAATCTGTCGATCAGTTTTCGATTAATAATTGAATCGCCAAAGGTTCCTTAAAGACCTTTTTACTAAATTAAACCAAGTGAAACTAAAACTTTCTGGATAGAGCATGTTGACTCACAGAAAGGTTTTTTTTTTAAATCTTAAATGCAAAATGTTTACATATTTTTTTGCACCTTTTGAATAATTGCTGTTCTAAATGGGTCACTCTGTCAGCTGAAGACACGTTTTAAAATCTCTAAACTCCAGTTAACCCCTGAAGCCCGGAGGGTCTTAGGAGGAAATTCCCCTGAAGTTACGTCTGTGAATTAAAGAAAGTTCAGCTCCCAAACTATAAATTGGAAATACAATTGTTTGTATTTGTATGACAGAAATACATTGAGGAATATTTTTCAGGTGGAATCACTATTTTAAATGCCACCATGTCTGATTCATAGGTGATTAAACAAAAAAAAGCCTCACCAATATTTTTTCCAGAAATAAACACCATGAAAGCCCAGTTGAACTCTGAATGAACCCACAGACTTTATAGATCCACATCTTGACTAGAAGTCAAGCACATTTTGACTGAATTAGTTGAAGCATGTAGGTTCAAGCGGGAATGTGATTGATTATAAAGTGCCAAAATTATGCAAAAATGCATTTCTTCCATTCATAAAAGGAAATCTGGTCAGGCAAATGTGCTGGTTTCCATTATTGGAGACTTTCTGCATAAGGCAAAGCCTTTGTTCCTAAGATTTAGTCGTTGCTTCATTGAAATTTACCAATAATATCACCAAACTGAATAGAAAATAACAGAGCAAGCTTATGTAACGCATGCCGGTTACATCACCTGAAATGGTCACATAATGACCTCCGACCCCTCCTTGGAAAGGTCTGAGCCTCTAGTTTCCAATGACGGCGGACATTAGGGGGCGGGGCTAAAAATGAATACCTGCTGTTGTGAATTCCGCAGATTCAGACATTTCAGGTGGAATTTTATATCTCATTTTATTTGTTTACAAAGCTACGAAACAAAAAGTATTTGTGAAAAAATAATTTATCAAATCAAAAATATCAAATAGAAATATGTTTTAGAAATTTTAAAGGCCCATTTGAATGGCCTGTGGATAAAACACCATGTGACTGTGTTTTGACCATTTCAAACATCAGCTGGTGTCAGCTGGGCTCTGTACCGGGCTTAATAATCAATTACTAAATTAGTTGATGGTTATTTTAATAATTGATTCATCTGATTAGTTGTTTCAGCCCCAATCATCTCACACAATGATTTTTTGAACCCGGAGGATTTACCCACCTGCTCCACAGGGTTGATCTCCAGAGTGGGCAGTGTGAACTTAAAATATGGTCGCAGGTTCTTATAGACGTAGACGCAGGGTCCGGATGCCACGGCAACAACGGGAATGCGTGGCTCGAACTGGTCAATGAAGAGGGCGACGAGGCCGGCGGGCAGGTCCAGCAGGGTGCTCTCGCTCATCAGCGCAGTGCCGCGGTACACCTTCAGCTTCATGCCGGTCGAGCCGGTGCCCAGGTCCCCCACCACCAGGCGGCTGTCGCCGTCCCCGCTCAGGTCTGCCAGGTCCACGCAGGAGGAGAAGGTGTAGAGACCGGCCACCGGGTCATAGTGGGCGTCCAGCCACTTCCCCCCGTCTCCTTTGGACTCCAGCGAAGACATGACAGCAGGAGGAGCTACTGATCAGGAGACACCTGCAGAGAAGACATTACAGTCAATCCAAACAGTGGATCAATGTTACCATCACAAAGTTGATGTCCTAACCAGGGCAACTTTTTATTATTAAAGTTATAGGGAAGCAGGTGTTCCATCCGTTGCATTTCAGAATTCTCCAAAATGGTGCACGACTTTACACGAGTGAATAAAGTGAATCTGATTGGTCGTTTATCAAGGGGCGGGATTGTTGTGGTGGAAGGTTCACAAGCAAGTTTGGCTATGGCCGGTTTGTCGGAAGCATCTTGCTAACCAGTGAGCAACTTAGTGCTAGTAGGTTCCCAATGGGAAATTCCATTGGGACCAAGTAGCACTAAATTGGTGACTTAGAAACGACACTGTCAAGGAACGCTATGGACAGAGGAAACATGCAAGAGGAGGAGAGTTTAGTGTCGGAGGTCGTGGATGAGTCTCCTCCGTCATCCATTTTTTATTTAGAGGAGGAAAGCGGGGACAAAGATGTTGTGGAAGAGGACGCCAGGGCGGCAGAAGCTTGGTTTGGTGTAGAAGGCTTCCAGCCGTACATGTTTGAGCCCTTGCCTCGCAACGCTGCCAGTTCTGTTAGCTCTACGCCTGCTGAAGACACAGAAGTCCATCCCCGTGGACACTGGGACGGAACTCAATGGGAAAGGAAATTATTCTGATTTCTTATTTCAACCGTTGCATATATTAGCTGCAACATATGAATCAAGATGCTATGACTGAACAAAGTTTGATTGACAGATTATCGTTGATATATGATTGGCTGAATTTAGGTGTTCAACCTGACGTAGAAGTAACTCGCCTGCATAAGACATTTAAATATGATTTCCCTACTACTTTAAACCTAGTATTGGGTCCAGACACATCATTGCCAAAAAAACCCGATCAAAAATAAATGACGTCCGAAGCCTCGCTACCGCCGTATTACAATTGGCAGTAAAAACAACCAATCTAGATCGCTAAAATTGGGACAATTGAAGCAATTTAGCCAAATGGTTCAACGAGGCTTTATCTCACCATCACTACAAATCACTGTATCGGAAGCGTGTCGTGTCCGGGACGTCATGTGACCGATCCAGGAGTTGTTTCTAACTGACTGACTCACTAAACTGGGTTTAAAAACGTATCGGTCGACATGATGCATCTGCTAAAAAAAATGTCTCATTTTTGCTGTTTATCATTAAAATTATCAAAAATTTTGGAGCATCCTGAAAGGAACAGGAGCGTTTCAGCCGTTTCGTTTTTATTATATTTTCCTCGTTGTGTCATCCTTTTCCTCTCAGTTATCACTCAACTTAAATGAATTAAAGTTCATTTCAAATTGACTCTTAGTTTATTTACTGTTTTTACTGCACTTATTATTTGAAAAATATGATTTAAATCCTACTCAACAAGCATCCTCATTCACAGTTTCCCCTAAATGTTCATGTTATATGTCACATAATTTATCGGCTGCATCTAAAAATATCAGTTATTTTCAATTTATAACCCCTGACTTAGAGTTAAATCCAGGGATAAATCAAGTCTTTGTCTTATTGTTATGGCTTATGCCATGATCATGGTTTTTGGACATTGGGAAACCAGTGTCCATATTTCATCTTGACACGATGACCAGAGAAGAGAAGGCAAGTTTGGTGAATAACCAGCTATAAGAACGCTCAGATCTGGGCTCAAAAGGACCCAAATCTCCAGAATCCTTTGGTGACTTTTCAGAACCAAACTGCTGCAAAACAGACCTTTTGCAACACATTTCTCTTGAGTTTAGGAACTTATAGAGCCAGACTTGAGAGATGCCTGCCTTGATGAGCCACTGAGACAGAGAGAGGCTTTATTGCATTAAGAGTTTAAACACTGATATAACATTAGTGTTCATGTGTTCCTCGGATGCTCATTACATTTAGATTACCAAGTATGACCAAGAGTCATTCAATGGAATCCTGATGTCTATTCGCTGCTAGCTATTTCAAAGGGTAAAGAATCATTTGACTAAAGCTTTATCAAAATTCCACAACTATGAATAAGAGGTCAACAGTTTATATCAGATAACGGTTGGAAAAGGAAGCCAACATTACAATCTTAGAGGAAGTTCGGTCTCAACTGTGGAAAAAAAACACATTTACAACTACTAACTCAACAGAAAGGCGGGATTTTGGCTGAAAGAACCTTATCAGGATTTTGATAAAGCCAAAGCAGAAATGTAGGTTAAGTGGTTCACAGGTGCCCTGCTGGAGAAGGTGTGGGAAGGTTTCTGCACATTATGAGCATATTTACTGTCCTAAATTAAAGGTCTTTTGGAACAATGTTAAGCAGATCATCTCTGAAACCCTGGACACATTGTTGGACTTTTCTTTCACCTCATGGAACTTTGGAAAACAGTTCGAGTGACACATGTTTACTAAAGATTTTCTTCATTGCAAGCAGGGAATTTAGGAAATATGGGGTCCCAGGCAAAGGCAGGCAGTGGGCCCTCTGAATTGAGAAGACAACACATAAACAGCCCCATTCTACAGATAGAGAAATGTTAATAGAATGGACATCCATTATCTGTTCTAGGTTGTGTCCCTCTCTTCTTGTCCCTTTTCTCCTTGTTTTCCTCTCTATGTTTTGTACTCAGCTGACTTTTCATGCTGTCTCCAAAGGAATGAAAGATTTTTTCCAAGCACTAAGCTCACTTAGCTGATTGCTCCTTCCTTGGCTGAGACACACTTAATATTATCAGCGTTCTGATGGCATTTTAGCCAAAGTAATTTGATCAAAAACATAATTAATGTGCACAAATAAGGAATACTTGTATTAACTATACATGCCCCCCAGGAACTTGGAGCCCTAGGCAGCTGCCTAGTGTTGCCTAATAGTAAATCCACCCCTGATTACAAGCTCCCCTACATTGAGGATTCACGAAATTGAAACATTGTCTTTCTCCCTGCGTCTCCAGAAGGAGAAAGGAGAGAGACTCTGGGAAAAATGGAAGTTACTCAAAGGCTCATAACAAATTACTTTTGTGAATTGGAAAACATATCTGCCTCTTCTGATCATAAGCTGTGAACCCTGCCCCTGGCTCCTGGTCTATATGTGTTATTTATTTTTATTCTTGTGATTCAGACCAGTAATGCAGTGTAAAATACAAAGCTCTATATACTGTATGTGTCCTTACTTGTTTGTATTTGACCTTGTTCAAGAACTAAAAATAAAGTTTAAAAAAAATGATATTTTCAATTTAAACACAGATATGGAATAATACAATATGACCTACAATAACTTAAATAATATTTTAGCATTAGATCAGGTCCGGATCCAGACCCAACCTGATTTAAAACTTAGAAATTACAGCATGTTGTCTGATGACAGTGTCTAACTTCACTTGCGCCAATGAGCTGCTGTCAGTCTGGGTTGCTGCTGCTGCTGCTTTTAGACACAGCAGGCAAACCTGTGGCAAGCCGGGCGATGGGAAAGAAGGAGAAGATGATGAGAAAAAGAGAGCAGAGAAAGTGTGGACTGCTGGAAGAACTGTGGTGAACTGGTGAAAGAAAAGTGAAATGGTGCTCAAAGATGACCCTGAACATTTAGAGGATATTTGGCTCAACCTGCTGCTGTGAAGCAGGATTCTCCACCATGAACAGAATCAACAATAAATATGGATCCAGGCTCAAAATGAGCTCCTTGATATGTGCTTTAGAACGGCTTAGTCTCCATTCAAACCAGGTTTAAAGCCTTGCAGGGCAGCATAAAGCCCCCTGCCAACATTAAGACAGAAAAAAGAAAAAGTGAGTCAGGAAATTGTCTATATACCAAACTGAACAAATGTTGTTCACTTCTGATTTTTTTTTATTTTTTTTTTATTATTATTCAATGTATATCATGGATGCATAAAAACCTGCTTTTTATTTCAATGTTAAATTATTTTTTACAGTAACAGATTATAATTAAACATGTCTCTGGATCTTTTTTGGTTGATGATTTTTAATTGGTGACCCCTTATCTGCTCTAGGTCATCAAATCAATTCAGCTCAGTCTGTCCAATAAGCTGTCTGTAGTGTCTTTAAATGTCCAGCAGGTGTCAGTATTTTGTGTGACAGTATCAATACAGTTTGTCCTCCTGATGGTTCATTAACCATCCCTAATTAAACCACATTTGATGAAACAATAATTGGTTTCTGAGCAGGAAGTAGCTGCTGTTCAGGATGGGACATCAAGGCGGAGACAAAAATGGAAGAAAACTCCACCATCTTCAGGTTTGAAACATTATTTTAAATCCATATTATTTGAGATGTGTTATCTGGGGAGTTATTAAGTTATGTCGGTTTAAAACAACAGATTAACGCTGATAATGTCATTTATTTTTCCTAAAGAAGTGAGAACCTGTGAGCAGATTTATCTCCAAATTTACTGAGCAGGACTTTATCAGACCCTTTAGGAGCCAGCTGCTAAAAAAAACAAACAATAGAAATATTAGAAAAGCTGTTAAACTTTACTGTCCTTGGTTATAAACAGAACCCGCTCACCTCCCTCTACTATATAATTAAGTATTAAGAAATTTACCCCTCGATTATTAAAGTATTTCTGATTCTGAACTGGTTTTATTCTGTTAGAAAAGCGTAAACTTTTTAAATCTTAAATAAATTTGACGCCATTTTCCTGGAGGTGAGGTGGAGGCTAGCATACCTCTGAAGGCTTTCGGGGCGGTAAAAAGGCAGCTAGAGCAGCAGAAATCCTCCGGTGTGGATCTGCTTCGCCGCCATCTTGTCCACTGCTAATAGACGCCTCACTTGTTGCCAAGGCGACCGCAGTAGGTGCCTTTCGGTCCGTTTCTTCTCGTTTCCGCGGAACCTTTCCCTCTTTTTCCCCGAATAAAACGCCTAAAACAGAGTCAGTGGGTCCGTTAGATCTAACCAGAAGATTAATGCTAATCTTCTCGTTGCCTTTACGGCTCTAATCCTTAAAAATCCGCCTGTAACTTCCTCTTCCCCTCCGTTGAGGTATAATTAGGGTTGGAAAAAGCGTTTTGGTGCGTAATACCGCCCCCTAGTGAAGCTCAGGAGGACATATTTATAAACGAAACAAAAATAAAGGGGGGAAAAAACAAAAAATTCTTCTTAGATACTTCCATAGAAAAAACGATTCATAAGAAGAAAGTTTTTCAATGAGTTGTCTCAATTATGCCCAATTTTTTCTGTTATTGTTGTGGCTTAGCTTTGATGACACACACGAAAAAAAAAAAGAAATCCACAAAGGCCACAGATGCACCATGGACAGAGATGGCAAAAGTACTCACTTTCCGTACTTGAGTAAAAGTACAGATACTTGTGTTAAAAAATACTCTGGTAAAAGTGGAAGTACTGATTAAACTTCTTTACTCAAGTAAAAGTAACAAAGTACAGGCTTGTAAATTTACTTAAAGTATAAAAGTAAAAGTAGAAACCACCTTTTATCATGCCGTTGCCTACATTTTAAATGGATGTCTGCCAATAGGACTAGATCTCCGTTGTGTTAATTTTCAATCATCTCGTCGTCCATACTACTATGCTAACGCTGCGTTCACACCGGACGCAGCTGGCGCGACAGAAGCAGCCAGTTTACATGCAAAGTCAATGGTTAACGCGCGTCAAGGCGCAGCAAAAGGTCCCGCGGCGCGTTTTGAGCAGCAGGCGCAGCGCGTCTGAGCAGCTGAAGCAGCGCGTCGGGCACGTTTAAGCATCTGATGCGCGTGACGCGCCGCAAACGCGTTGCTGCTCGAGATGGAAAAATTTTATTTTTGCTGCTCGACGCGCCGCGTCAACCAATCAGAGAAGCTGATCTGGGAGCTGGCTGGGAGAGAGACACAGCGCTGATGACACAGACTGCTCTGATCAATCCTCTTAAACAGTTTATTAACGCATAATTAACTTAAAATGCATACATCTGCCGGCAGAATATGTTGGCTTTTATTATCCTGCTGCCTGCAGATCGGATTATTTAGATGAAAAACACCTACCAGCCGCCGTGGTGAACCGCCAGGAGGCGACCCGGCCAGAGGCTGCTGTTGAAGGGATTCCTTCTGTCGGCGCACCGCTGGTATGTGGGGGTCTAAGCGGCTCCGACAGAAATAATATTGGGAGGCAGGATTGTAATCTGGATGAACTGACGGCACTGATGAAGTTTTCAGGTGTATTTTCTCACTTAAAAACATATTAAAACTACTTTATTCCCACTGATCACAGCAAATATAGCTGCAAGGCAGAGAAAGGATAGTGAAGCTCCGCCCAACGCGCGTCAGAGCCACTTTTGCACCGCGCAGCCAGAGCAGCAAAGCTGCTTCAGCAGCGCGTCAGAACTAAATGGTACAAGCAGCAAAAAGGAAGCAGCAGACGCGATTTTGCTGCTTTTGCTGCGTCCGGTCTGAACGTAGCATAACGCCACCGCCACCAAGCTGCAATGATTTGCCGCCAATGAATACCGCCGAATCTGTCGATTCATCTTGTAGTGGTGCGTCAAATGCAACGTAGATTCCCATCCAATTAGATTGAATTTGGTATTGATGACGTGAAAAATAATAATGGTAACTCCATTGAAATGATTCAAAACTAAAGTAACGAGACAATTTTTTAAAATGTAAGGAGTAGAAAGTACAGATATTTGTGTAAAAATGTAAGGAGTAGAAGTAAAAAGTCGCCATAAAAATAAGTAGTAAAGTAAAAATATCAGAAAAATCTACTTGAGTACAGTAATGAAGTATTTGTACTTCGTTACTTCCCATCTCTGACCATGGACAAGTAATTTAAGCAGGAAAAAGTTTTCAGTTTTCTCAGTTAATTTCTCCTCAGGCAAGCAAACAGAAAAGGACAAACATTTCCTCCATGCTTCTCTTGCGTTGGTTAAAAGCCATACCCCCACCCAGATGCATGCTGGTCCTACCTTGGACAGCCTATTTATAAAACTAATTCACCCAAATTAATCAGAAACAAATAACCAAAAAAGATCATCTCAAAACAGATATCAAACAATAAAGTAGAATAAACTAGATTAAGAAACTTTGTTAATTTTAAACAAAAAATAATTGGCTCATACACTTATTATATAATTATTATTGCGATGGTCCAAATAACTGTTAGTTGCATTACTGCTGCCGTCTAGATGGCTGACCTACCATCATTACGTCTGGTTTAAAACTCAAGTGTTTTTCAAAATCGTACAATTCTCAACAAAACTTAATCCCATAATTTAATTATTTTTTAACATAGTGCATTATTTAGATGAATGAATAAGAATTTATTTCAGACAATTTTGACAAACAACATAAATAAATCAGCCAAATACACACAAAAGAGACTAGTTGACATAAACCAAACCAAAGACCAATTTTCAAACTAACTAAATTCATCTGAACATAAACAGAAACAAAACCCTCCATCAAATAAACCTGTTGGTATAAACAGCCAGAATAATGACATCCATTATTATCATTGTGATTATTTTCACGATGAAGATCTCTGTGAATATTTATTAAAATCTGTTTTTCTGTTTCCTTGATATCTTATTTTAAGATTCTATCACACTTATAATATTAAACTATTTACTTTTGAATATTAATAAAATATGTAACTTTCCCTTCCTAATTACACAGTTTTTCCTATTTAATCTAAACACTTTTTCTGTCAACCTAATTTTAGCGTTTAAATCTACAACATTTTGTCTTTACTAAACCTTTTGTCAACCTGGTTTCCCTCGAGACCATAAAATAAGATCAGCTTTGCTTTAATGTCCCACAGTGGGTGAGGGAGAAGACCAAGGGAGGAAATAACATAAAAATATAATAAAGTTTAAAGAAAGCTGCACAGTGAAAGGTAAAATACTACGTAGGAACAGCTCTACCAGTTTTAAAAATAAATAAGTAAATAAGCATGCAATGAATTGCAAAAATACAATAAACAAATAAATGTTGATAGAAATTTAATTATACAGTGAGACATAAAAATCTGTTTTAATTAACTTTTTTATTTATTTGCCTTTTTAATAATTACCTTATTTATTTATTGTCCGTTATAATCTTTAACTTTATTAATTGCTTATTTTTTAAGTAGTTATTTATGTGCATGATATAATGTTTTTGTCTGCGTTATTCTAATTATTATAACTTAAATTCTACCTACATTTACTTGTTTATTGTATTTTTGGGGGCAATTAATTGTCTGCTTATTTATTGATTGCGCATTTATTTATTTCTGTATTTAATTTTAAATATGGTAGAGCTGCTCCTCCATAAAATGCCACCACTAGGAGAGAAAAAAAACAACAATACAAGGCGATAAAAACACAGACAACGTGCAGGGACTCTTATCTCGCGAGACGTCAGTTTAGGGAGTGGAGTGACGTTTCCTTCTGTGATTGGTCGGTTGGTCGCAGTTTAAATGAGATCGCGGTATTGTTTGCAACAGCCGAACTGAAGGTTAACTGCATCTATCTGCGCTTCTTATGTTAAATTCAGAGATTTATGGCAGGAAACCTCCATTGTTCCCTCAGCATCGATTGTATGTAAGTAACTCATGCGTTAAATCTGCGCTTTTCGTTCATCGAGGACGTTTGAAACAGCTTTGCAAGATTAACTTAGCGTAAAGTAGCTAATGCTAACAACAGAGAGCGGTGGATCATAACGTTTCTTTAAGGGTTATTTTTCTTCTCTGTTTTAATAATTATCGGATTTATCAGCTTTTTGTAGCTGCTGGGAAAGTTTGGTTGTTTTTTTGGACCTTCTGCTCAGGTTAATCAGAACTAATTTAAATACCCAAACCAAACTTCACTTTAGTTTCGTCTCATTTTAAAGATTTAGTATTTAAACTCTCATCTGACAGCTCCGAGCTCAACATCAGATGAGGTGAAATCATCAGCTGGGCTCAGTGCTCAGATCGGCGTGTCAAACAGCCTGGTGTTTATCTCCAGGGCTCAGTTTTCTGAGTGTTTCTGTGAACTGAATCCTCCCCCAAAGGTCAGCGGTTTCCAGGCTGTGATTGTTGGCAGAGATGATGGAGTCATGTTTTCCTGGGATCCCAACGAGAACAGGACCGGTGGAGGTGGCGGACCTCAGGAGGAACCTGCTGGGTGAACTGGATGCTGCAGCGGCGCAGGTAAGAGCTGGAGTCCTCCTGTGACCTTGGAGAGGAGGTGATGATGATGATCCTGATGATGACGATAATGATGAATCTGATTGTGAAGGTGCAGTCACAGACGGAGAACCTGCAGGTGTACCTCAGGGTTCGGCCTTTCACTGCAGATGAGAGCGACAGCGGCGAGTCACAGGTAACAGAAACAAACACTGCTTACTGTCTGCCAGGTGCTGAACTTTGATCTCTTCCTAATAATGATTTTAATTAGCTAATGGAAATGCTGAAATCACAAGGAACCAGCTGACTGACAAATGAAAGTAATCACCCCTAGATATAGAGAGCCGTTGCGTTTAAAGTTAAATAAATAAACACGGTTATTAATGAGTTCATCCATCCATCCATCTTCTTCCTCTTATCCGGGATCGGGTCGCGGGGGTAGTAGCTTCAGTAGGGAGGCCCAGACGTCCCTCTCTCCAGCCACTTGGTCCAGCTCCTCCAGGGGAATCCCAAGATGCTCCCAGGACAGCCGAGAAACATAGTCCCTCCAGCGTGTCTTGGGTCTCCCCCTGGGCCTCCTCCCGGTGGGACGTGCCTGGAACACCTCACCAGGGAGACGTCCAGGAGGCATCCTAATCAGATGCCCGATCCTCCTCAACTGGCTCCTCTCGATGTGGAGGAGCAGCGGCTCTACTCTGAGTCCTCCCCGGATGACTGAGCTCCTCACCCTATCTCTAAGGGAGAACCCAGAAACACTACGGAGAAAACTCATTTCACCCGCTTGTACGCGACAGTATTAATGAATTATCAATAAATATTCGATTAAATACAAAAAAACATTAATTCAAGATGCAGAATGACCTTTTTTTTAGTTCATTTATATAATTTTAAGCCTTTTTACTGTAAGATTTATCAATTTTATTTATTGGTTAATCTTATTTTTAGGCATGTGTATTTATTTTAATATTGAAATGTGTGTGTATCTATTCTTATAAATTTCTAAAAAAAAAAAATATATATATATATATATATATTTGTATGTTATTGTGTATTTTCTTTAAATTGCAGATTGCAAAAACACGTAAAACACTGACAATATATGGAAAAAAACATCTTAACACTTTAATAACTATTCTAAATAACCATATGAAAAATAATATGAGGATTATAGTTTAAAAATGTTTTTTTTATTTTATCTGAAAATATACTTATTTTACAGAATATTTATAATGTCTAAAATATGTTTTTACCTTTTTTATTTATACTATTCAGCTTAATGGACGTCCATTATGAAAATAAGCCATCTGTCTGTTTCACTAATATATTCCCAAGCTTTTGAAAACCAGTTTGTGGAACTATTGTGCTCTGCTGCCCCCTGCTGGCAGCCTGACTCTACTCTGGATGAATGAATGTTGTAGTTGCTATAACGTTCCTGGTCTCGCCGTGCCTCAGCCGTGTTTCTCCTGCAGGACTGCGTGTCGATGGAAGGCTCCAACACGGTGGTCCTGAAGGCGCCCCGGTCGTGTCAGCCCAGCAGGCAGGGGGACCGGTCTCTGCCACAGACGGCTCAGAGGTTCACCTTCACACAGGTAGCTGCGGCGTCGGCGCCCGGTGGGCTGGGGAGACGTTTTGTGGTCCTCACATCGTCGTGTCGTTCAGGTGTTCGGACCTGAGGCCAGTCAGAGGACGGTGTTCGAAGGTTCGGTTCGTGGTTTGGTCCAGGACGTCCTGCAGGGAGGAAACTGCTTGGTGTTCACTTACGGAGTTACCAACGCAGGGAAGACCTTCACCTTCCTCGGTGAGCACCACGCTTCCTGGACGTTTAGTCCTTCTCTGGTCTCTCCCTCTGATCCATGTTTCTCTCAGGGCCGGAGCATGACTCCGGCTTGCTGCCGCGGTCTCTGGCGGTCATCTTCAACAGCATGGAGGGCCGTCTGTACGGCCGCAGCGATCTGAAGCCTCAGCGCTGCAGGGACTTCAGCAGACTGACTCATGATCAGGAGGCGGCGGAGATCAGCAGCAAGAGGAACCTGCTGAGGCAGCTGAAGGAGGTGAGGCAGGAGATGAAGCGTCATCCTGCAGACTGAGCTCTGAGCTTCACAGGTTTCTGCTTTCTGTCTGCAGAGCGACAAAAGTCTGACGGCAGGAAAATCCCTTCCACTCGAAGGTCCGTATCCCGAACATTCGCTTGTTTCCATGAAATCCAAAACCATCTCCTCTATTAGATCCATATGAGTAGAGGCCAAGCTTTGCTCCTGCTTCTGTGTTCAGGCTCGTCCATCAGCAGCGACGGAAGCCTGAACGGCGTTCCTGAGGGAGACTCCTTCTGTCTGGACGTTCCTTCAAACGTTCGCTTCTCCGTTTGGGTCTCGTTCTGCGAGATCTACAACGAGAACATCTACGACCTGCTGGAACAGGTAGCAGACCCGCTGTAGGCTCAGAGGGACGTAATGAACGAAGCGCAGGGAGAAAAAACATCAGTGATAAAGTTTCCAAATAAAGACTAGGTGGGGTTAAAGCTCCCGTATCCATAAGCTATCCAGAAGCAGCATAAAATTCAAACACTGGACAAAAAGTGAGGTAACGGATTAACTATGGAGGGCTGTTCCTGCCAGAAACCAACATTTTCATTTTCACTCTGTTTGCATTTAAAACATCGTTTTTCTCTCAGATCCTTGTTTCTGCAGATTTAATACTTCTTTCATAAATGTCTCCTCGCCTGTATGGCGTGAATTGGATCCATTATTGTTGCAACACATTTTCTAAATTAAAATCGAATTTTATTTTATCGTAGATTTTAGTTTATCGATTTATTCATTTTAAGATTTTATTTAGCCATTTTTTCAAACTTCTCTTTTTAAGATATACTTTAATAAATTAGGTTCTTTTCAAACGGCGTTTAACTTTCTCTTCCCTTCAAGCCAAATCCAAATTCTCACTCTTGACCAATCAAAATGTAGCTAACGTCCAGCAGACCAATAGAAATGTGTCTTAACTTCTCCAAGAGGAAAGCCCCGCCCCCAGAGCTGAAGAAAATCTACTCTAGAAAAGGGGATTAAAAAAAGAATAATTGATAAAGCTCAATCTGATGATACAGAAAGCTGACAGAAAGTTTGAAAATATAACATCAGTAAAACAATTTTTTAATAATGAATTTGCTTTTTTTAATGAATATAAAAATTGTATGTAAGAAATGTAAGAAATCTGAACAATCTGAAGAAAAAATAGTAAAAAACAAGATTTATCTTTGACAATATCTGGGAAAAACACTTTTCCTCAACGTTTCAACTTTGGTTGCATTTTTTTGGTTAAAGGACCATTTATGGAAATAAATTAACTCCATACAAACAGGTGTTATAGATTAGATTAAAACGTTTTCATCTCCAGCATCTTTTTGTCTCATTGCAGACAAGGGGCTATCAGCTCCTCTGGCAGCTTCATCAGAACGAGCTGCACTTGATATATTAAAATATTGTTTGCAGAAATATATGTTTGAAGCCTCATCAGTATCAATAAAACAATCTAGCTGTCATTTTAAAATGTTTACTCCTTAGTGGCCAGTTTCACTAATTAACACCTAGATTTACACTAATAACAGGTTAAATGTTGAAATGAATAACCCTCTGATTAGCAGCAACAATTAAAACCAACATTATCAACTTGTTCAGTTGATGAGATACTGGGTTGAGGTTCAGGCATGAAGGGGTTAAAGTGGAAGCTGATTCTGTTCTGGTTTGTTTGGCGTTCAGGTTCCCGGCGGGCAGCAAAAGAAGACGGTGCTGCGTCTGTCTCAGGACGTCAAAGGGAACTCCTTCATCAAAGGTAATCCGCGTTTCTTCTCTGTCTTATTAAACATGGCGCTGTCTTTCATGATGTTTGTCTCTCCAAAAAAGTTCAAAATCAATCCACTGGACTTTGTTTCCAAGTTTGAAGACGTTTCTCTTCCATCCAGGAAGATTTTTCAATTCAAGATGTCAGAAATAGCGTTGAGTTCTTTGTTAGCCTGCAATGCTCCATACCTGTCTATGTTTCCCTTTACCAGGAAACCGTAGACCTGACCTATTCAGCCAGGCCAACAATTTCCCCCTTTCAGAGACATAGACGAGTAACAAAGGTAACAAGACAGGAAACAAAGTTCAGTGGATTGATTTTTAACTTCTTTTGAATGACTATGGCCCGGATGACTGAGAATCTTCACCAGCTTCATAAAGTTTGGTTTAACCACAGAGTCTGATTATAAGAAGGCAGAACAATCGGCTTGATTTTAAACTGGAAGCTTGTTGGAAAATAAAAAGCTCGACTTTCTGAGGAAATATTCCAGCTTTTTATTTAGTTTTTGAAGGTAGAGGCGGAATGGCTTGGTTTGTGGTCGGTGTTTATCTAAGCTCTGTGTGTCAGACCTGCGCTGGATCCAGGTGGACAGCTCGGAGGAGGCCTACAAAGTGATGAAGATCGGGAGGAGGAACCAGAGCCTGTCTGCCACCAGACTGAACCAGATGTCCAGCAGGAGGTCAGCGTCGCTTCCTGTTTCCAAAAGCCTGCAGAGATGTGAACGTTAACCCGCAGCGTCTGTTTCCGCAGCCACAGCATCTTCTCCATCAGGATCCTCCGGATCCACGACGTCGGAGTTACCAGAGTCCTTGGAATCAGCGAGTAAGTCTTCCTCCCTTTGCTCTCCTGCAGGGCCGCCGTTCTCTGTCTGACTCGTGTTTCCGTCTGCAGGCTGGCTCTGTGCGACCTGGCCGGCTCCGAGCGCTGCTCCAGAACCCACAACACCGGAGAGAGGCTGAAGGAGGCGGGGAACATCAACGGCTCCCTGCTGACGCTCGGGAAGTGCATCAGCGCCATGAGGCTCAACCAGAACGCCAAGTATGATCCGCGTCCGTCCGCTTGGCCGCTCCACGGCACGGCCGCTTCACTCTGAGCTCTCCTTGCAGGTTCCAGCATCATGTTCCCTTCAGGGAGTCCAAGCTCACCCACTTCCTGCAGTTCTTCTTCTGTGGTTCTGGTCGCGTGTCCATGGTGGTCAACATCAACCAGAACTCCTCCTGTTTCGACGAGACGCTCAACGTCCTCAAGTTCTCCGCCCTCGCTCAGAAGGTGACGCACGCCTCCACCTGCAGCCGCGCAATAAGTGATGGTGACCATTATGTCATTATATAATCGTTATTGGTAAACGTAAATAGTTTACCAATAATTAACAACGGAATAGAAAAAAATGAAACCTAAAGAAAACTGAGAATCAATAGGTAGACGGATCAAGAAAAAGCCCTCCCACCCCCATGTTTCTGCTCCTCTGGTTTAGTTTTTAAGTCGTTAAAAAACAAAACAACAATGTCTGCAGGACTCTTTAGGTCAACAGAAAGAAAAAGGTCTGATCCACGGTGATTGGGAAGTTTAAAGTCGTAGGGAAGCGGCTGTTCCATCCGTTGCATTTCCGAATTCTCCTGAGTGTTGCACAACTTTACACGAGTGAATAAAGGGAATTTGTTTGTTTGATTATCAAGGGGGCGGAATTGTTGTGGCAGATGGTTCGCAAGGTTTGATTGTGGCAGATTTGTTGGAAGCATCTTGCTAACCAGTTAGCATCTTAGTGCTAGTAGTTTCCCAATGGGAAATTCCATTGGGACCAAGTAGCACTAAATTGGTGACTTAGAAACGACACTGTCAAGGAACGCTGTGGACAGAGGAAACATGCAAGAGGAGGAGAGTTTAGTGTCGGAGGTCGTGGATGAGTCTCTTCTTTCATCCATGTTTTATTTAGAGGAGGAAAGCGGGGAGGAAGATGTTGTGGAAGAGGACGCCAGGGCGGCAGAAGCTTGGTTGCTAACTGGTTAGATGCTTCCGACAAACCAGACACAACCAAAATTGCTTGAGAACCTTCCGCCATAACAATCCCGCCCTGTTTCCCTACGACTTCAATCTACAAAGTGTCCAATAAACCTATCTCAGTTAAACCAGCTGTTTAAGGACCATCAAGTATGAACAGACCTGAAGATTTTAAATGGTTAAAAACCAACAGCTTTAAGTTAGGTTTTACCCAAAATGTCCAAATGTTCGTCTTCCAAGGTATAAATCTGAAATGTCCCGAACGAGCACTATTGCCATCTCCTCAGTGAGAAAAGTCGATACTCTCGTAAAAGGCGATTCTTGAGCGTCCGATTTGCATACTTCAGGTCAGAAAAAAAGACCCTAGAGTTGACATTAGGAGCTTCGTTGAAATAAAGGCGATAGGTTTAGCGCCAAAAGTGCTAAGTTGGCAACACTGACAACAAGGATCAAGTTGTTGAGGCCTGTTGAAGATTCCTAGAGCTGCGCTGGCATCAAATTTGAAGCGTGCCCGTTCTGAACGCAGCATTAGAGAAGTAAACGTGTTTCTCATCAACGAGTTTAGGGATGTAATGAAGGCAGAGAATGTGTTTCTGTTCAGTTAATATTGCTGTTTCTGCAGTTTAAAATGCTTTGAGTGAAAGGCCAACCGAGGTAAAACAAGGGGCAACAGGAAGTGTTTTCTTCAAATGTTGTTGCAAAGAACAGGATTTTAAAATGGAAATTTGGGAAGATTATCTAATACTGAAATGAAAAACTTGGTGTCTATGTTACACTAAGTTTGTCTATGTGCTGACTCGTCTTCCCGTCGCATGAGGAGAAGAAGAAGAGTTACCTGCTCCTCCCGTTCTCGTCCAGGTGGTGGTGGTGAACTCCCGGCCCGTCGTCCTTGACGACAGCACCTCCCATAAGTCGGCCATGGAGCTTTCCCTCATCATCGACGAGGCCGACCAGCGCAGAAACCTGCTGAGCCACGGCAGGAGGAGCTCGCTGGTCGCCTGGGAGACCAGCCTGGAGGACGTGTTGGAGGCCGAGGACAGCGAGGAGTGGGACGAAGAGGAAGAGGAGCAGAGCGCGATGGAGGGGACGGTTCTGGAGGCTGGAGCTGTGGAGGAGGAAGGAGACCGGACCGTGGAGGAGGAGGTTGGTTTGGTTCTGCTCTTTCATCTTCAGGAAGACGATTAAAGTGGCTAAAATCCCCAACGCTGCTGTTTGATCTAGGTGGACAGAGAGGCGGCACTACGTTTGGTTCTGGAGGCTCAGATCAGAGAAGAAGTCAGCACCGAGTTCATGGAGCTGTTCAACAAGATGGAGAAGGACTACAGGTGAGTCTGCCGCATCTCACCCGGGACGCAGCCGCACGGGGCGACCGTTAACGCGCCTCCTCTCTGACAGCGAGCGTCTGGAGAAGGAGAGGGAGATCCTGGAGGAGCGCGCCGAGAGGAGGGTGGAGATCCTGAAGAACCTCGTCAGCAGGACGATGGAGCCGCCAGCGGCCGAGAACCACGACGGAAAGGTGAGAGAGCAGAGCAGCGTTAGGAAGCTTTAACCAGAGGAAGAAAATATCTGTTTAGGATTTTATTCTACATTTTATCTTCATACATAGCCGGTGCGCGCGGATGACGTCATACACACTCTGCTTTGTTTTTAAAAAATATAAATATAAAAAATATAACGGTGGATGTCTGGGGGACAGTGATTCTTCTACATGTTCTGAATGCTAGCGTACCATAAAGAATAAATTATGAACAGTTTAGTTTGTGCCTTCAAGTCGTTGCCCATAGGAAGACGTTACCTGGATATAACCTAATGGAATATCTTCAGGACGGCTCCAAATGACACAAAACTCACATGGGTGAGTAGAACATGATGGAATAACGTAAAATCAAGGGCCCAATCTAAAAAAAAAAAACTAACAAAACAAGACGGCGTTCCCCATTAATATCTCTGAAGCAACAGCAGCACATGTGAACTTTTTTATTACATTTAAAAATCCCAAACCTGCACTAAAGAAGCAATAACCATTCCGTCATTTCTTGAGTTTATTTTTCCCACATCTGTGGGGTTTCGGCTTCATGCAGCTAAAGCTCCTCCTCTTTGATGATGATGATGATGCGATCCAGGGTGTAAACACTGCATCTGAAATGCAAAGACCTACCTGCAGGGCTGCAGAAAAGCACCGCCTTCATCTCTTGCTGTGTGAACGCACCATTAATGGACCTTTAGGAAAAAATCAGGGGAAGTCAAGCGATGTCATCTTTTTATCCTTTTTTTCAAAATAAAAGTCGTTTGTCGCAGGTTAAACTCAGTGACATGAATTCCATGGACAACTACTCTTTGAATATTTTGCAGGTCTGTCATTTACTAGTTTGTTTTTTGAATGGTTAAAAACTGTCTTTTTAAACTCTAAATAAAGCCTTTTCCCTCTATAATCGATTATGGGCTGAACACATTAAGGTTTAAGGAGTTCTAATATATGTATTAAAAAGAAAATGTTATCAAGTTAATGGTGCCAAATGGATTAATAGTACAAATAGTACGTGTTGAAAGAATACAACACAAAAATAATCATTGAAGGAAAAATATTTTAGAGGGAATGTTTCTTTAAATCCCTGGAACAGAAAAATGGATGTCTGTGTAGAATGAAAGCATCTAGATCCTGTTCCTTGTTTGACTGAACAGAACTTTTGAATGTTTGTAGAGCTGAGTTTTCTGATTGGCTGACAGGAGGAAGATGCTTTGGAGGGGATCCTCAGCTCCATTACTGAAGACCTGAAGAAGATCAGAGATGATGCTCAGAGCGTCCAGCACTTTCTGACCGAACCCAGACTCTCCTCAGGTCCAAACCCAGAAAATCCACTTTGAAAGACTAGAATAGTCTTTCCTTTATAAATCCTTTTTTGTTATTTCTGTATGCCTGCAGAGATGGAGAAGTTGCAGTCAAACAAGCAGCTGCAGGAAGATGTGAAGGTAAGAGTTCAGACCTGAAGATGAACTAGACAGTCTCAGGATTTAAGTTCCAGTTTAAACCAAGCCTGTAGCTTTGTCAATGAAATGAAAAGCTGATATTGATTTGTAAAGAAAAAAACAGCAATAAAACCCACAGCAAAGCTTCTGCTGCTGTTATAAAGCAGGAAGCATTGGTTCCCAAAAAGCCATTTCTTCTCCATCTAGCTAAACAAAACTCACTTAGAGACCAGTGATGGGACTAACGGCGTTGAAAGTAACGGCGTTACCTTGTTTTAGTAACGAGTAATCTAACTAATTACTTTGACTGTAACTATAACGCAGTTACCATTGCAGACACCCCGTTACTGCGCGTTACTCAGGTCGCACAATGAACCTTTTTTCATGATAGGACTCGTGCGCGCCTTGTCATGAGAGAGGGGAGGATGAGAATGGCTGATGTATAGTGAGATTCTGTCTGTCAGTTGGGTAGGTGGGTGTTTCTGCTGGCGGGTGTTAACGTACAGCACACACAGAGAGATGGAGAGTGAGGAGGACTCCAGCAGCAAAACAGCGTTTTCCATATGGAAATACTGGTGTTACGTCCAGCTGCGTTTCCCCATCAGATACCGTTTCCCCTGCATCTCTGCACAGCGCAGGAGGCACGATTCACCGCGCAAGCGACAGGAAACGCGCATGCTAGCTAAAGGCGCGCAACAGTCGCCCTGTGCTCGCGCCACAGGAGAACTATGGAGAGTGTGGACGATCATTAGCCTATATGGAGAAAGATAGATAGATAGATAGATAGATAGATAGATAGATAGATGGATGTTGGAGTATCTATAACAACCCAAACACACAGTTATTAATTATATACACTCACCCCCCCCGATGTCATTTACGTTGAGTTGCAATAAATGCTAAACTCTCTGCAGGTTCTTGTCTTTGTCGTCCGCTCTATTCAGCTGGATTTGGAAACACACCGCGAGAAGGTGGGGGCTGGATGGTGAGGGTTACGGGGGCGAGAAACGCAAAAGTAACGCAATAGTTACTTTTACTAGTAACTAGTTACTTTTATTGTGGAGTAACTCAGTTAGTAACTCAGTTACTTTTTGGGAGAAGTAACTAGTAACTATAACTAATTACTTTTTCAAAGTAACGCAATAGTTACTTTTACTAGTAACTAGTTACTTTTATTGTGGAGTAACTCAGTAACTTTTTGGGAGAATATATATTTGACGCGATCAGTAAAATTATTTGTCAATGACATGAGCGTTTTAGCCTCTCAAATATGATAATTATTTATCCTGGTCTTGAAATAAGATGTTTTTTTTTCCTCATTTTAAAGCTAATTTTTCTTCCGTTGATGGATGCTGTTTTTTTTCACCTTAGACCAAGTGAAAAAGAAAAATGTACACAATTTTCAAAGTGAATGTTTAGTTGGAGCGCAACTTTAAACGTTCTGTTTAAGGTTTGATGTTAATGTATCTACATTCTTATTTTTTCCCCGTGTGATATTAAGGCTAATTTCACACTGCAGGCCTTGATCCTTAATTCCAATTTTTTTGTGGAATCTGATTCTTCTGCGTTGCTGTTCACTTTTCCAAATATATGTCCGACTTGTTTGTCATCTCCTGTGTGAACTGCATTCACTCAATTTAAGTGTCCCGCATGCACAGTAGAGGACAAAGTTATGTCACAAGCGAGCGAGTGTTGGGTTTACAGAAGTAAACATGGATGGTAGCGCTGAAGCACGTCTAGTAATCCTTCATTTCTTTCCCAACCTTAGCCAGGGCATTAGCAACACAATCTTTTCAAGGAGATTGAAAATAAAGACTGCTCTCTGCATTATCGTCCACCATGGTATTTTTTATTCGTGCCTCTGCGTAGCAAGACACAATAGTGACCTTTGAGTATCAATAATGTTCAGGTCGGATGAATGCGACCTGGATGTTCAGACACAGGTCGCATTTGAAACGGTCAGATTCCTGACCACAGAGCCAAGTAGCCTGGGTCGCATTGGGATAAATCCAATCTGTGTTGTTCAGACTGTGATGAAATGATCAGATCCAGGTTGCATATGGGCAAAAAAAATCTAAATTGGGGAACTTCAGTCTGCTGTAGCCTTAGTTCTGAAATGTCTTGATGCCATCTCAATGCTGCCCTCTCAGGGTTAAAGGAATAGTACACCCAAAACATGATTAGCCTTCATTTTCTACTCACCCCCATGCTGAACAACACTCTGGAGTACTTTTTTGATATCTCAAATGCATCTGGAGATCTGGGAGGCTTCTTGCTGTCTGCTGACATTCAAATAATGGAGGTCTATGGTGACCAAGACAGAAAGGTCCATAAAAGTCCACAAAAAACGTGTCAATATTCCTCCATACTGCTCGTCCAATGTATTCCAAGTGTCCTGAGTGGGTAGCTTCCAGAATTTACTCGAAACGAAGTCATTTAGAATGTTTTTAGAGCATAAACAGTAGTGTATAGGATTTCCTGAAAGCGCGTTCACGACGCTACGGAAGCCGGCAGACCAAACCAGATGAAAGTGCGCATTCAGCGTCTGGTCTGCCGATAATGCAAGCGTAGAAGAAGAAATGTGCCGTTTACCTGTGCAAAGAAAGAAACAACGAAAGAAAAATGTCTGAGGACTTCAGTGTTGAGGAAGAGCATGAGTTCTTTGCCGAGCTGAATGCGCTGGTTTGGTCTGCCGCGGTTTCCGTAGACTCGTGAACGCGCATGTGAGCGCTTTCAGGAAATCCTTTACCCTACTGTTTATGCTCTAAAACATTCTAAATGACTTCGTTTCGAGTAAATTCTGGATGCTACCCACTCAGGACACTTGGAATACATTGGACGAGCAGTATGGAGGAATATTGACACGTTTTTTTTGAGATATCAAAAAAGTACTCCAGAGTGTTGTTCAGCATGGGGGTGAGTAGAAAATGAAGGCTAATCATGTTTTGGGTGTACTATTCCTTTAAATGCAGCTACTGCAGATGAATAAACAATGCCTGCTGATACTGCCTCCATCACCACACTGCTGTGTTGGGGTGTAAATACGTCTTACTCAGCCTTTCGCCCCTCTAGTGAGGACAGCTCCCCCCTACATCTGGGGATGGTGTTTTTTTTTTTTAGCGGGGTGTGAAAACATAACCCAGCCAGGTTTGGAGAAAGTTTGTTTGTTTTTGGTCTTACAGTGTTCGTTCATATAGTTTCTCATTCTCTCTTTTTTTTTAAACAATAAAAGTTTTAGTGACTGATTCTCTGGTGTCTTCAGAGTCTGGAGCAGCAGAGGATATCTGAGCTGTCAGAGATCTGTAAGGAGAAAGATGGAGCCATCAGGCAACTTCAGGGAGCCTTGAGAAACGCAACAGGAGACGTAAACACTCCCTTCTTCCTCCGTCAGACTGTTTTCACTAAGACTTTTAGGTCTGAAGGTTCTGGTGTCTTTCAGAGACCGACCTGCAGCTGCTGGAAGACGACAGGAGGGGACGGCGGCGAGGAGCAGAAGGAGAGCAGTAAGCGTCAACGAGATGTTTCAGAGGAGCAGGGAGGAGGAGCAGCAAAGAAAAGAGGTTTGGATGTTTTATTTTAAAAACCCTGAGAAGACATCAACCATTTCTCAGCTCGCTTTAGAAAGTCGGCATCTGATGTCGACAGATTTAAGTCTGTCCCGTTTGTCCTCTCAGCTGCTCTGGAACTGGAGATCAGGAGGCTGCAGGAGGAAAATGACAAAAAAGAGGAGATCATCAGGGAGCTAAGAGAGAGGGAGCAGCTGAGGAGGCGGCAAGAGGAGGAGCTGGAGAGGCGCGGGGAGGAGGTGGAGGAACTAAAGAAGAAAAATCTGGTATTGGAGAAGAAGGTTAAAGAGCTGACAGGTGAGAGATCAATGAATGTTCCCTAATCTACCGAGCAGCATCTATTAACACATTTCTACAGCGGCAATTTCCAGAACCTCCTCTAAAGATCATCCAGGCAGATTAACAGTTTTCTGTTGTCTAGATTAGGAGTTGGTCACATTCCTAATCCAGTCATTCTTTCCTGAGTCTAGCTGAATAAAATGAACTTAGAAAATGGCTTTTTTTTTTGTTTTGAAGGAACCAAGATTTAATTTTGTTTTAGACTTAAAAAAACCAAAACCTTTTCCTCTGATGTAAAAAATGGTGGAACAGACTTAATCGTTTCCAAGCTAACGATGAGAGAAGTAGATCTTAAGGAACAGGGGAGATCCGACTGGGTCGGCAGATCCATCAGAAACCGTTTCCCTCGCTCTGAATGCAGCCGGTGGTGCTCCTCTCAGAGCACAAACTCCTCAGTGGTTCAAACACAGTTTTAGTGTTTTTGTTTTATAATACAGGAAGACAAAAACATTAACCTTTTATTGTGTCCATTAAAAAAACAAACAAAAAAACCCAGATAAGAATCAGGATGTCGGGCTTTTTAAAGATCTGATCTATTATACTACAAAACATTCCTGATACCTTCTGAACAAATTTTATAAAATTTGTTTCAAAGCTTCAGCATGTCTTAAAAATCCATATTTGCAGGTCCTTCTCAAAATATTAGCATATTGTGATAAAGATCATTATTTTCTATAATGTAATGATAAAACTTGAACATTCATATATTTTAGATTCATTTCACACTAACTGAAATATTTCAGGTCTTTTATTGTCTTAATACGGATTATTTTGGCATACAGCTCATGAAAACCCCAAATTCCTATCTGACAAAATATACATATCATGAAAAAGGTCTATAAATGAGCTATGCACCTGATCATCTGAATCAACAAATCAACTCTAAACACCTGCAAAAGATTCCTGAGGCCTTTAAAACTCCCAGTCTGGTTCATCACTCAGAACCCCAATCATGGGGCAGACTGCGACATGACTGCTGTCCAGAAGGCCATCATTGACACCCTAAAGCAAGAGGGAATGACACAGAAAGACGTTTCTGCACCAATAGGCTGTTATGAACTGTTTCTGTATCAGTTTCAGCTGAGTTATTTTGAAAAATTACCAAGCTAGTGGCTGTTTAATCAGAAAAACTCATGCTACGTTCACACCGGACACTCCTTGAGCAGCACAAGCAGCTAACCTGACAACAGCCAGATGCATGTCTCGCTCCGCCTAGCTCCACTCACATACATCTGGGACACCGCTCATTGAAAGTAATTTCCACAACCAAATTTATGGTCTGGCCAATCAGGACGCAGGGCGGGTGTTTCCTGCATGTGACGTAGTGGAGAAGCGAGTTCTGTAAGTCGTTCGTCTATACTTTTTTGGTTGGCTTCTTTTTTTAAAATAAGTCTGCTGTGCACAATGTTGCCTTTTATCCGCACATTTTCATGGCACAAACGACACTGATCATTTACTGACATTGCGCTGATTCCACTGTTGCTATATCCAAGATGTCGGCTATTCTGTTTTGTTTTTTTTCCTGCGGGTTAGCTTCGGTGTGAGTGGTTGAAATAGCACGTCGATAAAGATGACAGACAAGTGGCTTATCCAATCATATGCAAGGAGTTTTGATAAGGCCCAGCCTTCAGTAAAGGCAATTCCTATGGCGGGTTCCCAGATGTATGTGAGTGGAGCTAGGCGGAGCGAGACATGCATCTGGCTGTTGTCAGGTTAAGAAGCCGCTGCTTTACACGTAAACACGTAATATGTAGCCAACATTTGGAAGAAGAATGTTTTCAAGATGACTTGGATAATAGCGCGTTGTGACAAACACCAGATACAGCACTGGGACTTGATCAACAGCCGATACCGCACCGTGACGTCACAAACCAGTAGGTGGCAGTAGTGTTCTTTGACAGACATGGATGCCTCCAGTAAAGCACATTCACATGAAAATTACTCTGAATTAAAAACACTGATCATTTATTGAACAGGATGGAATAATTTTATATTTAAAGAACTTTCAGAAGTTTGAATTCTGAATATGAGAGGACTTCTCCTTTTAAAGGAGCTCTAACCACTAGGGCGCTACTTCCTACATCCCCCTGGATGCCATGAACCATCTGCAAGAAGAACAGGGAGGCGTTTTTCTCTGATTCCGGTTCTGTCCTGCTGTGGTCATTTCTGACCAATAGGAGCAGCCATCATCACAAACAGCTGTGTTTTCATCTGTTAGCAGAAAGTACAGTTAATGGAAAAAAAGTCATTTAATGCTTAAGCTCATCAGCTCCTACGACCACAGAGATCCTCCTGAAAGGTCTCACAAGGACCAGGAAGATCAATGCTGCTGATGTTTCCTTCCTTTATGGCTCCGTTTGTCATCCTGCATCTTTCTCCTCCTCTTCCTCCAGATGTGGAACAGTGTCTGAACTGTGACTCCGTGCTTTCGTCTTTGGAGGGGGAGCAGAAGGAGACGGCCAGGCTGCAGAAGGAGAACAAAGCTCTGGTGAACGGCATCTTCCAGCTGCAGGCTGAGGTGATCCTCCTCTTCTTTCTTTTTCTCCATTCTTTTCTCTCTTTCTTTGTTTTGTTTTTCCACTCCTCCTTCCTCCTCCTGCTCTTCTTCTTCTGTAGCTTTTTGAGTTCTCTTGCAGCCGCTGATTATTTGAAGTTGAATCCTCAGGTGACCGCTCTGCAGGTGCAACTTAAACAGCAGACTGACGCGTCTACCAGCCTATCAGAGGAGCTGGACGCAGCTAAGTCCCGCCTCCACAGCCTGGAGAACCAATTGGAGGAGCGGAACAGCTCCATCAGGAGTCTGGCGGAGGAAGTGGAGCGTCTGAGGCCAGATGTCGGTGTTGGTTCTGTTTGTTTTTCAATGGATCGACGCTTCTGTTGAAAATATTCTGATTTCTCTGATTGTTTGATTTCGCAGCAAGAGAAGCAGAAAAGCAGCATCGGCGTTCTCCAGGCCACCATAGCTGAGCTGAGGCAGGAGCGCGAAGCGGCGCAGCAGAGCTCCGCTCAGATAGAGGAGCTTCAGAGGGAGAAGAAGCATCTGGAGGAGCAGCTGGCCCACAGGTGGCGAACAAAGACACCCACCAACACCCAGAGGACCGACTGACCCCTGAGTGACTGTCTGCTCCTTCTGCTCTTCCAGTAACGGCAGCTGTGCAGAACTCAGCCAGGAGCTGCAGAACCTGAGAGCAGAGCTAGAATCCGAGAACCGGGCCCTGCTGCAGAGGCTGGAGGCTGTGAGGAGAGAGGAGGAGGAGAGGAGGCGGCAGCTGGAGGAGGAGGTGGCAGGTGAGCCAGAGGAGATCCAGCAATGGAGGAGAGGGGGGCTGATTTAGAAACTTCACAGGGAATTCGGAGGGTTAACCCCCAACCCTTTTTCACGTTTTTCTTAATTTCTTTTAATTTAATTTTTTAAAAAGTCATTACAGATTCTATGTTTTCAAAAAAATTAATTTCATTCTTTTCAGATTGCATTTTCCAGATTTCATTCCCCTCATTTCTATATTCTGCTGGACGTTAGCAACAACGTTTTGATTGGTCCAGAGAAAAAGAATGAATGAAAATAATCTAGAATGTGGGAGACAAAAATTATTGGAAAAAAAAAAATCTAGTTTATTTCTAGATTAGATTTTTTTTAAATTTACATTAAAAAAAAGAAAATAAAATCTTTCCTGAAGCAATAATGGAACCAAGATGACTCCACAGCAGAAAACAATGAAGGATCAGAACCTTAAAAACAAAAAGCTCTGACTCTACCTGACTGGTACGAGCTTCCTGATTGGCTGATAAATGTTGTGTGGTTCAGGCCTGCAGCGAGTCACGGCGGAGAAGGAGCAGCTCCTGGAGGACAGCCGGCAGCACACAGAGACTCTGAGACAAGGTAACCCAGGCTGCTGTAGGTACCGCTTCATCCTCATCAAGCACCGTTTGTGGAGGAGAGGTACGGAAGCCCTGAGCGGTTGTGTCCCTCCGATACTTTTTCAGAGAAAATTAGTTAATTTTCTCATTATCTAAAGATAACAAAGCTGTTTTCTCGTCATAAGGAGATTATTGGTGTGTTTTAAAACTTCAATACCACAACAGCAGGAGAGGATTACGTGTTACGCCTGGAACAGCTATAAGATGTAATAACCTCCAAAGCAAGTCCAGATTAAAGATTTTCATTAAAAAACAGTCACATTTGTTTCTACCGTACATGCGGTACCATAGCTGCACAACTACGGGCCCTGCAGGCATGGATGGACTGGGAATCCAGGGCTGTTGACCAGCCTCATTCATTACTCAGACAGGTTCATCATCTCTTTATCTAAAGAAATCAATAACTGTTTTCTCCTGATAAAGAGATAATTACCTTGTTATCTCGAGTTGAGTATGACCGCTTTGGGCTTCCATAGGAAAGGAGGGTGAAACAGCAGCATATTTATCACCCACAAGAGAAGTTATTGATTAATGAATTACTTTTTTATCAATCAACAGTTCATTAATAAACTGCAATTTTTTCTTTTCTCCAAAGAGAATGTTTCCATAACATGAAGGGTTAAATATTTTTTACAAATTGCTGAGTTGGAAAAAAAATAGTAGAGCATTATTGTTTAATAATTTATTGTTCCACCTGTATTTAAAAACTGACTGAATCAACAAAAACATGTTTTCTTACAAATTATTACATTTCTGACTGAAAACATGAACCTGTTAGCTTACTGAACAATAAAAAAAGATCAATTATGTACAGAGATGTAGATCTATCATTAATAGATGGAGTATGTCACTCTGACATGCTCACAGGTTTATTTATCAGGGCCCTGTCACATCTTGATGATTTAACATCCCAGATTTTCCTAAAATGCTGGCGTACGCTGAACTTTCTACGTACAAAGATTAAAGTATTAAAAAGGTGCTACGCAAACATGAGTTAGACCCCGGTCATCAAGCTGCTGTACAAATGAATCTCATCCTGAGTTGTAGAATCCTGTCCCTATAAATATTCTCTGAGGAAAAAATGCCAATCATTCTTTAATAAGATCCTCATTGAACAGACATCAGTGTCTCCTATTAATGAAAGATACTGTGGCGGCATGCGGACTGGAATAGTGACAGGCAGCCGAGACCCCTTCTATTCATTCTAGCTAATCTGAATCGTTCAATTCCATTTGGAGAGCGAGATCATCTGTGGTAGCAGCACTAGACATCTTCCAGGCACGTGAGGAAAACTAGCAGTTCAGAGGACAGGATGAATGAATGGCAGCCAGCGCACGCGGATGATGTCATACACACTCTTTGTTTTTAAAAGATATAAATATAAAAAATATAACTGCGGATGTCTGGGGGACAGTGATTCACCTACATGTTATGAATGCTGGCGTACCAATTATGAAAAGTTTAGTTTGTTCCTTCAACTCGTTGCCCATATTATTCGTTACTTAGATAATAACGGAATATCTTCAGAACGGCTCCAAATAGGGGTGGGTATTGGCAAAGAAGTCATGATTCGATTCGAATCACGATTCACAATTTCGTTTTTACCTTCTTTGTTTTTAAAGCCAAAATGCATCCAAGCATCTGACTTGAAATGTGATGGAACCGGGGGGCCGAATTTTCTCAGTGTCCTCCATGTTTTATTTCATATGACTCGTCTCAGTATCCCGGGGCCGGACATGCTTGTGACACCAGGCAGCGGGCGTCAACACATCCGCAGCGACATCTGCTGGACTGGAAGTTGTATTCCACTTGGTTTGGCTGATGTGCGCCAACCATTCATGTGTTTTATTTGTTCTTTTTTTTTTTTATAATCGATTCTTGCCTTCAAGAATCGATGCAGCAGATCACAAAATTTAGAATCGCGATGCATCGTCATGACGATTATTTTGCACACCCTTAGCTCCAAATGACACAAAACTAATATGGGTGAGTAGAACATGATGTAATAACGTAAAATCAAGGGGCCAATGTAAAAAGAAAAGAAAAAAAAAACGGCTTTCCCCTTTAAGTGGAATAAACCACGCTTAAAAATGTGCAAAACCCCCGAGGGTCAGAGACTCTCCCACAACAGTCTCCTAAAATCCTGTGGGAAACATGCAGTATATTTTTTATAAAAGCTAATGCGTTTGGTGGACCTAGTAAAAGACTTTTTTTGTTTTATGCACAAAAGTCGGACTAAATCGGGGAAATAAAACGGCTAGATTGGCTGTAAGGAGAGCAGAGACAGAGGACGCTCTATGTAATGTGTGTTACTGAGGGTATGCTGGCCTGACAGCACCCACCCTGACAGTAACGCCATATTCCAACAACCTTCGTCTCTGCTCTGTGAGCGCGAATGTTTTCCCAGCATTCCAGTCGGACAGTCTCATTTTCATCAGCTGCATTTTTAGCACCCTAAATAGATGTTTTTTTTTTTATTTGGTTATTAAATGTCATCTTTACTCGAAGTATTGAATTTTTCAAAAATCTATATTCCAAGTTTTATTATCTATTTCCTTCTCCCATCTAAGAGCTTCAGTGTCTAAAGGAGAAGATGCACAGGAGAGGGGAGGAGGAGGACAAGGAGAATCAGAGAGGAGGAAGGCTACAGGGGAAGAGGAAGGAGGAGGACCTTCATCCTCTTGGAGAGTCTCAGGTCGGAGGAACAGATGGAGAAATCATCAGCGGACCGGTAACCTCCTCCTGATCTAAACACCTCTCCTTCTGTCTGCAGGACGTCTGTGCTTCTCCTCTGAGGTCGAACTCGGCTGTGAGGAAGAAGCTCTCTAGGACGGTGGGCAGGAAGAGGAAGAACGGCGAGGTGGAGGTCCGTTTGGGTTTCAGTAGCAGCAGGGTGGAGGCTCCACTCATGTCTTAGCCGTTGTTGCTGTGATTGTTTTGCAGGGTTTGTTTCTGAGCGAGAGCAAGAGGAACCGAAGCAGAGCGTGCAGCGACAACCTGGTGAGGACCCTCAGCTAACAGGTAGCGCTCTGACCGGCGGTCTGCTGCAGCCTTTTATTTACTTCTTCTGTGGCGCAGGAGGACGGCGTGCTGCAGACCATCCAGGAGCTGATCCAGAACCCTCAGTCTGTCTTCAGCAGCAAAGGTTGCTTCCTGTTGAAGCATCATCTAAGGAACTGGAGCCACCAGTTGGATAAAACCTGATAAAAGTGAGTTTTCTTGTTCCTGCAGCTGATCCTGCCCCCCCTAAGGAGGCCTCCGCAAACCGACCCCGGCGAGGACGAAAAAAACTGTTCAAGCTGGACGCCTCGTCTCCTCTGCTGGAGTCTCCGCAGACGGTGAGTCCTCTGGGTAGTTTCCATCCAGCTAACCCACTTAGGCTAAGTTCACACTGCAGCCTTAAAGATCAATTCTTTTTTTTTTTTGTGAAATCTGTTTTTTTGGGGGGGTTTTTACGTTGCTGTTCACATTACTACTTGATCCCAATGGGAAATTCCATTGGGATCAAGTAGCACTAAATTGGTGACTTAGAAACGACACTGTCAAGGAACGCTATGGACAGAGGAAACATGCAAGAGGAGGAGAGTTTAGTGTCGGAGGTCGTGGATGAGTCTCCTCCTTCTCCTTTCAATGGAGTGCTCACTGTTGCTTTTGTTCAAAAAAAGTATGTTAAGATCATTTGAGGTGAGAATGTTATACTTTTAAGCATCACTATATTATATGCCCCATTTGCTGATTTAATGCCTAATAAAAAAAAAAAAAAATGTTCTGAAGTTGAGAGGACCAGCGGAGCTCCGAAGGTAACGTTAGCCCGTCTGCAGCAGCCGTCTCTCTGCATAGCCGTGTGTGACGTACTGCTGGCTCCGATGGACGTTTTTTGTTTTATTTGGCAAAATGTTCATTCAATTTGTGTTTATCTGACTGTTTATTATTATTCCCCCACTAAATGAAAAAAGTCAGTTTATTATTATCCAATGACTATTAATAACAGGAGGCAAAAAGCAGCTCTGTACTAGCCGAGCATGTGGTGATGTCATCAGTACGCTTCTGTTCCAATTGACCCATGTTTATGCTGCGTGCTCCCGTTCTCCCCAAGTCGAGACTTTCCTGGGTTTTTCTCAAAAACAGACTTGGCGAGGACACGAGTCCGTACTCGCATTCTAGTGAATTGAGAAACTGCCAACAATTCGCTCTCCAACTAAACACCTGTACCGGTCGCCACTACTCTGCAAAGATTCTTATTTCAGTCGTTGCGTATATTAGCTGCGACATATGAATCAAGATGCTAGGACCAAAAACATTTGATTGACAGATGACCGTTGGTTTATGATTGGCTGAATTTAGGTGTTCAGCCTGACGTATAACTAACTGGCCTGCAGAAGATAACAAAGAAAAACAGATTCTAAGACGAGATTTATTTTTTAAACAGAAATTTCAGTTCTTCAGTTCAGTTCTTAGTATTGATTTTTTTTAAAAACAAAGAGGGAAAAATGGCTACCTCTGCACCACCGCTCTGATAGATGGCGCTGTGGAGCCATTTTGTTGTGTGGCGCAACACCATATCTGTAGTTGAGGCCGTCACAGGGGAAGACATGGACAACCCCCCCAAAAAACAAAAAAAACCATCAACAACCTCAAACAACATGGATACCAGAATAACTAAATGATCCATATCCTCTGTTGAACATATGCAGCACTTGCTGTTTTATCTTTACATGTAATGATAGCTGGTAAAAATATCGGGTTGGCTTCGGCCTGATGGTGCGTGCTGTAGTGTACAGGGGTTGACGAGGGGCGATCAGCCTCTAACGACCATCTCCCAATCAGTCAAATTTGAGTAATTTTTGTCAACACTGTAAATAATAGAACTTCTTCACACACTGATTCTCTTTTTAACATGTATCACACCACATACATTGAACCTTTTGTCGGCTTGTTTCATCATATCCAGAAAGTCTTCACCCTCAAACAGAGGATTCTCTTCCTTCCTGTACCTCTGATCTGGCTGTGGTGTCACTGTGTCAGGAATTTAGTTGGGAGGAAGAAATGTAAACGATTAAAGGAATAGTACACCCAAAACATGATTAGCCTTCATTTTCTACTCACCCCCATGCTGAACAACACTCTGGAGTACTTTTTTGATATCTCAAATGCATCTGGAGATCTGGGAGGCTTCTTGCTGTCTGCTGACATTCAAATAATGGAGGTCTATGGTGCCCGAGACAGAAAGGTCCATAAAAGTCCACAAAAAACGTGTCAATATTCCTCCATACTGCTCGTCCAATGTATTCCAAGTGTCCTGAGTGGGTAGCATCCAGAATTTACTCGAAACGAAGTCATTTAGAATGTTTTTAGAGCATAAACAGTAGTGTATAGGATTTCCTGAAAGCGCGCGCCTGCGCGTTCATGACGCTACGGAAGCCGGCAGACCAAACCAGCGAATTCAGCGTCTGCTCTGCCGATAATGCAAGCGTAGAAGAAGAAATGTGCTGTTTACCTGTGCAAAGAAAGAAACAACGAAAGAAAAATGTCTGAGGACTTCAGTGTTGAGGAAGAGCAGGAGTTCTTTGCCGAGCTGAATGCGCACTTTCATCTGGTTTGGTCTGCTGCGGCTTCCGTAGACTCGTGAACGCGCTTTTAGGAAATCCTATACACTACTGTTTATGCTCTAAAAACATTCTAAATGACTTCGTTTCGAGTAAATTATGGACGCTACCCACTCAGGACACTTGGAATACATTGGACGAGCAGTATGGAGGAATATTGACACGTTTTTTGTGGACTTTTATGGACCTTTCTGTCTCGGGCGCCATAGACCTCGATACAGGCACAGGAAGGCACACACACACACACACGTTCCCACTACTACAGGCCCACCCGTTCCTTACCTTCCATGCTATGGCAGCATGTTGGCTCCTCAGACGTCTATTTAGATTCGCTGTGTTCTTCCATTTTGCCATTTTAAAGCCGCAGACTCTTTGGTGTCGTCCTTCCTCCGGTGTTCTTCTTCTCCTTGTAAATGAAATGGCTCCATGCATCCAGGCGTTGTTTTCGTCCAGCTCCTCCAACAAACCGCACACCGCTATCCGAGCCCCACGCAATGACTGTGAAGTTGAGCTAAGAGTATAAGCCCTCTGCTAGTACTGACTGAGCGGCACGAGGCACTGTAGGACCGGCACCATGTAGGGACAAACAGAGCAACAACACATAACCTTCTATGAAGCTCAAGAAACACTTTTATTAACAATAACAAATGACAAAATAATTCTAAACAATTACATTTCTTAATGTCCATTCCTCCATGGCTCGTAAATTTCATCTGGTCTTTGTCTCGTTGACGAAAATCATTTTTTATTTTCGTCATATTTTTATTTTCTGGAAACAATTTTGCGCTTCATCGTCACGGGAAAAAGGGCCGTTGATGAAATATTTTCATCATCGTCCTGGTTTGATGAAATAAACACTGGTGGGCTGTGAACTTTAAACCCTGCATTCAGCTGTAGCTGCGTGCAACGATTGAAATAACCGCACAGTATCCCCGCCTAAAGATGGTTGCTCCGTGTGCGTCTCATCTCACCCTTATTTGTGAATATTAAAACTTTTCCCACAAATAAGACGACTGGTACATTAAAAAATCATGACATGCTTGTATCTGTGTGTTCTGCAGTGGTAATTTAGACGTTTGTGAGGTAAATAAAGATCTTTGGCCACCATTTAACTACTAACGATGCAAATTACAAAATAATATAAACTTATCTTTCCTGGAAAGTTACAATATAGAGGTAGATAAGTTTTACTGGCAGTGATGTGAAATGATTTCTACCAAACAGCCAAACTTTACCTGTAGAGTAGAAACGTTGGGAACCGCTGGCAGAACTACCCCACGGATAGCAGGCAACGTTTTTTGTGCCTTTTTCTGTTTGAGCTCCAGTAAATTGTGCAAAAACATACAATGTTTAGCAGCCATGTCCAGTAGGCTGTTTGATTTATAAAGAAATCTGGGGAATAATGCTTTGGCTGATAACTTTTGACAACGACGTGGCCACATAATGGACAGTGAAGACGGACCGCTTTAAAGGTGGGAGAGCTTTAGGGATCTAACTAAAAAGAAAATGCCCAGAATACGCTGTTTCTTTGGCAATTGTGGACACTGATTTTTGCTAGACAGTTTTTTTCACCTTGATGATGATTTATTGCTATAACCCATGTTCTAACATCAGTTTGTCTTCTGGCAGATGTTGGGCAACGAGAAGGAGGAGAAAGAAAGCGACCACCTGATCATCAAAAGGCAGCTGCGCTCCAACAGCAGCAGGAAGTGACCGCCGGCTTTCAGAGCCTTGGACTTCAAATGTGTCATTGGGTTTATGATGGAGGATGTAAGAAGATAAAGGGTTTAAGTTCTTTGTTTTTTATGTTTGTGACTTAATCAAAAGCTCCATTATAGGAGACTTTTTTTTTTTTTACTGAAAACGGCTGCATCAAATGCAAGAGGTGATTCAGAGTAAAGGAGAAACGGCAGGAGGAAGAACCGTTATCAGAGGGATGTTCTGATTTTAGTCACCTGAAGATCCACTTTATATCCATAGGAACCTCTGCCTGCTCTTTATCATGGTTCTGATGGGGGCTCTAATGTTCCCCGCAAATACAGACGATACAAATAAAGGTTGATTGAGGGGTTCAGAATGAAAATAAACAAATTTCTACTCAAACATCACATTCTAGAGATTGCACCTCTTTCTTTATGTAAAGGGAAGCCGTACTGCTGCTTGGTTCATATTTTCTGTAAGAAAAAACAGATTAAACTAGATAACTGAGCTGTTAATGCATGCGGTCTCCTTGGATGGTATATTTATTTACTTTTAAGGGTTTTCTGAGGCTGGGTATACAGATGTTTTCAGTCGTTGCACGCAGCTACAGCTCAAACTACGATGAAGCTGCAGGGTTTAAAAGTTCCCAACTCACCATGTTTGTTCTCACTGTGCGAGCCGACGCTCTGATGCAATCTACCTGCTCACACTGTACGTCTAAAAGCCAGGTGGGACTCAGCTCCGCAGTGAGATGGCGCTGCTCTGACTTGTCTATCCAGAAGCCAAACCAGTAGAAGAGGAATATGAAGCTAACTAGAGTGAAACGCGCTGCCTTGGTATTTTGGGCAATTTTGTGCTGAAAGCCCTAAAAAGAAAAGGAGACGACATATTTGGACAAAGACATGGCTGAGCAACGGGGCTACTATGGTCTGTCAGTTTGACAGAACTCCATTTCACTCATTGCACTCCCGCCATGCTGCTGGGTTTACATCTTAGAGGAAGAAGAATCCTTGTTTGCCCACACGACCACCTTACAACAGCTGAATTTCAAACATGTTTGATTTTCTCCCGACCTTACGATTCCTGATGGGGGGGGTGGTCGTGTTTTATTAAGTAGAGAGCAACAATCGTTCAGTTTGGTATATAGGCAATTTCTTGATTCCCATATTTTCTCAAACACCTGAACTGAGCGTTTGTTATTTTTCTTTCTTCTTTCTGTCTTAATGTTGGCAGTGGGCTTTATGCTGCCCTGCAAGGCTTTAAACCTGGTTTGAATGGAGACTAAGCCATTCTAAAGCACATAGCAAGGAGCTCATTTTGAGCCTGGATCCATATTTATTTTTGATTCTGTTCATGGTGGAGAATCCTGCTTCACAGCAGCAGGTTGAGCCAAACATCCTTAAATGTTCAGGGTCATCTTTGAGCACCATTTCACTTTTCTTTCACCAGTTCACCACAGTTCTTCCAGCAGTCCACACTTTCTCTGCTCTTTTTCTCATCATCTTCTCCTTCTTTCCCATCGCCAAGCTTGCTGCAGGTTTGCCTGCTGTGTCTAAAAGTAGCAGCAGCAGCAACCCAGACTGACAGCAGCTCATTGGATCATTTGGATCATGTGCAGCCTCGAGCCGGACGCTCCGGAGGGCTTTACCGTATTAACAGGAGAAGAGGCGCAAGTGAAGTTAGACACTGCCATCGGACAACATGCAGTAATTTATGAATGTTTTACATCAGGTTGGGTCCGGATTAGCCCTCAGATGGGTTTGAATCCAGACTACGGTCCGCTAATCCATGACCTCTGATTTAGGTAATCTGATCAGCTCAGCCTGTAGTGATTTCAAATGTCCAGCAGGTGTCAGTATTCAGTGACAAAAGTATCAGTACAGTTTGCCAATGAGTGAAAACCTGTTATGATGAATCATTAATGCATCACTAGTCTGTATAAACAAAAACAATTTTAATTTCACAAGTTTTAGTGTCATTTGAATCGGCATTACTAAAGGAAGTGAATCCGTTTCCTGGCCGATTTGTTCCAGAAACATTCATGCTTTCTGTCAGGTTACTAACCTCACTGGACTGCCGTTGAGGTGAGCTCTCATCAAGGTTCTCTGCAGACTGTTGAGTCATGTGACTCTATTCAGACTCATTTATTTGTCCAGGCAGGAGGTTTGGCATTGTTTTAATGTAAAACACTAAATAAATTCACAGCTGTCCTGCTGGGTTTACAGTATCTAAATTCAATTGGTCGCTTATACCATTATTATGAGCCTCTGGCTTGGCTGCACATATATCTGAGCAACAGTCTGATTGGTTGGACAAAACTAGTGGGAGGGGCTTGTGCTTGCTGGACGAGAGGCGATAGGAGCGAATCCCAGTGACTAAAGACACAATGAGCGCGCTGACCAGCAGGGCGGCACCACTGAGGGTGAAGGTAGCGATGTAATTTCCTGCGACGTCAACCAGCCATCCTGTTGGAGCAGAAAATCGGAAATCAGCTGTGATGCAACCAGCGAGGTCATGATATAACAGTCATCAAGTAACAAAGTACAAATACTTTTTACTTCTTTACATTTTTTTAATTATCTCTATGATCTATTCGTTAAATTTTAAAAATAAGACTCATTAGTTTTGTTTCATTTAAGCTCATTTTTGTTATGTCCTTTTAGTATTTAAAAAAAACCATTAAACTAATTTGTTTCATCCAGACGATTATTTTCTTTGTGGTTAGACTCGGTGCTGCCCCAACTGGTTGTTCACCACAAAGCAAAATAAATCATTTTTCAAGATGATGCAAAGTTAAATTGACACTGGTATCGGTGAAACTCTCATTTTAAGTACAAGTATATAATTGCGTCCTTCAATTTGCACATCAAAAATCTCTTACATTCTCAGCTTTGCTCTAAATTTTCCAAAACTCTTCTTGCCAAACTATTTGTGTATTGTAACTGTGGAGCTTTGTTGCCTTCCGACTACTCTCTGCAATCGGGGCTGCAGCGTGTTCACCTCGCCGACTGAAGCCTTAAAGGTGCAGGGTTCATGCTCTCACAGCGCAACGACTCTTAACTGATTCCCTAAGTGTTTTTCAAATACAAATGTACCTTTTGACATTTTGGAATTTCAACATTTACCTCCTATTGGTGGACTGAACAGGTAAGGGATGGCGTGCAAGAGGTAGACCACGCCCAGTGCGGAAGACAGGTATGGAACCCCCACCACATCTGACGTCACCACAGGTATAAGTGCCACGTATGCGCCGTCAAAGTAACCATAAACCACAGCGAATGGCACAAGTTGAGCAAAGGTACGAAGCAGCGACACCAAGAAGCAGCAGAGACTCTCCATTGCCACGGCAACAATGTAACAGATGAGGCGGTACGGCTTTAGACACCTGTAGAAAGACAAAGTGAGCAGGAAGCAGATTTGGTCTGTAGAGTTTTCCCAAGGTTTAAACTCTGCACTATATTCTGCTAATTGTGTTGTGTTTGAAGCACATCTTTCCATCAAGGCTCCAGTCCTCCTCTGTCTACCTTGTGTCCGTCAGCCAACCAAAGGTGATGTTCCCCACAATGTCGATGGCTCCCAGGATGGACATAAGGAAGGCGGCGTTCTGCTGGCTGACGCCAACGCTCAGAGCATACGGCACGAGATAGACGAAGGGCAGACTGCACCCACTGGCCAGGAACAGGAAGGACGCAGCCAGACCCAGGAAGTCTGGCAGCAACAGGAAGCTGTACTCTGAATCCAACCGGAAGCAGGAACTGAGGCTGCACCTCCCCTTCCGCCCAGAGGGAGGGTTTCTGAGAGCAAGTAAGGATGGCTGTTTGGCCGATGCCTGAAAAGCATCTTTGGAGAGATTTATTTCACCTTCCTTCACTCGGACATCACCTGCATCAGATCGGGGAAAAAAAAGTTTGCCTTTGTTTGGTTAGCTGCTCAGATGGAAGATAGAAAGAGCAAAAGAACAGGTGGGTCATCAGTGAAGGCTAACATGTTGTTCAGAACTAAGAACCACTGCTCCACTTCATAATTGGACAGGGTTGCCTGCTTTGGCGATCTGCCTGCTACTAGAGATGCTTCTGTTGTTAATATCTATTACACGACCGTACGTAAGACCTATTAGCTCTAAGGTTCCAACTGTTGCATTCCTGAATTCTCCCGAGTGGTGCCCGACTTTACACGAGTGAATAAAGTGAATGTAATTGGTCGTTTATCAAGGTGGCGAAATTTTTGTGGGGGAAGGCTTCAAGCAAGTTTGGTTGTCGCCAGTTTGTCGGAAGTATCTTGCTAATCGGTTAGCAACTTAGTGCTAGTAGGTTCCCAAGTAGCACTAAATTGGTGACTAAAGGTTGATTTATACTTTGAAACTAGGCCATCTGCGTAGGTGTCGCAGCAAACAAAAAGACTTCCACTCCCCCTCCGCAGACACTCTGCTGCACCTCTCCCAAATTGTAGGTGACTGCAGACAGGAGGCAGGCTTGTTTTGTTTTTATGACCGCAATTGTGGAAAAAAAATCTGGAAATTGGACCAGCTAGAAGAGCGAGGTGCGCGAGAACGATGGGACCCTTTTTTCCACCTGCTCTTTTTCACCTTCATGTCCCTCCGTTGTCGGACAAACTTGCCCCCACTTCCTTACCGCCTCGGCTGTATCTAGACCCCCAGTGTATAGCGCAGACTACGCTTCAACATTAAGCATAAATCAAAAATGTTTGTCAAGCTGACTGCGACACACTGCCGCAGGGAGTATAACCAGCCCTTTAGAAACGACACTGTCAAGGAACGCTATGGACAGAGGAAACATGCGAGAGGAGGAGAGTTTAGTGTCAGAGGTCGTGGATGAGTCTCCTCCATCATCCATTTTTTATTTAGAGGAGGAAAGTGGGGCTGAAGATGTTGTAGAAGAGGACGCCAGGGCGGCAGAAGCTTGGTTTGGTGTAGAAGGCTTCCAGCCGTACGTTTGAGCCCTTGCCTCTCAACGCTGCCAGTTCTGTTAGCTCTACACCTGTCGAAGACACAGACGTCCATCCCCGTGAACACTGGGACGGAACTCAATGGGAAAGGAAATGATTCTGATTTCTTATTTCAACTGTTGTGTATTTTAGCTGCGACATATGAATCAAGATGCTTTGACCAAAAAAATGTGATTAACAGATGACCGTTGGCTGAATGTAGGTGTTCAGGCTGACGTATAACTAACTGGCCTGCAGAAGATAATGAAAAAAAAAATGTTAAGACATTATTTTTTTCTTTTTAATACAAATTTTCTAACTTTTGGGACAATATGGTCTGATAAAGAGTACATTTATATACATTTTAAGCCAGAATGATTTCACATATGAATAGGACTTCCCTAAGACTTTAATATAAGCATATAAATATGCTTCTCATCACCTGTCTCCACCTCTTCGCCCT